TTTTCAATCCCATGTATTGAATCGAATGGTCCATCATTCTGTTTGACTAGAGTACCACTAAAGTTCGAAGCCAGTCTAAATTATTTATGCCATGCAATACCAAGTTATGAACCCGTGTTGTTCGGATCACCAAAAAACTGTCGGTTAACTACCGTCAACCGATGGCTCTTTGTCACTATCTATTAACCTCTCTCTTTAACTCCATACGCATGATATATATAACTTATACAGTTTTATTGTTTCTACTGCATATTGTAGTATTATAGTTACTAAATCTCAGAAATGTTTTTCTGATTTGGTAAATACAGTACTACAATATAAAGTGGATTGAATAAAACTGGTTATAATTGACACTAATATTTGATTGGATTTGGTGATTTTCTTACCAAAAATCTAAAATCTTTATGTATATACACAGGATTTAGGACATCTCTGATTGATCTTATAGATAAATATATAATTTTATTTTATCAATCCAATATTTACATTTGGATTAGCTGTTGAATCAAGTCTAAGTGAGAAAAATAATTTTTTTTCCTTTTATAAATTAATACCTACATTTCGATTTTCTATTGAACCAAATCTTAAAAAAATAATTCGATTGAACCATTTGAGTTTAATTTTGGACGACTAATTATAAGACGTGAATACATATGCTTTTGGTGAATATCCGATGACGACATAATTAAAAGTCAAAGTAGTAGCTTATATCAAATAGAAAAAAAGCTAAATCGATGAGAAAGTTTCTCGAAAGCTCAAAAAATACTTCTACAACCTTCACTAAACTGAATATAAAGGTAAAAAATAGGTTTCATACAATGGAGACTATCTGATGCAAATGCGTGGTACATCTTGCAATATATATCTGTAAGCTACAAACAAATTTTGGATCGTAGTCAAAAAATGAAAAAAAAAAATAGTTGCAACTTCTATCTTACGCGCCGAATATTTATATATCTTAACAACAATAGCTATGGATCCATCAAATGCCAAAGATGTACTCAAATCTGATGATATATATTTTCTTTAGTTGAAACAAGTCAATAGTTTTAAAATAAGTCAAATTAATATTTTATTTAAACGAGAAGTTTTTTGTTAAAACAACCAGCTAAAACTAATTCATCAAAATAAATGCGTCTATTGAAAAATATTATTTTCAACAAATACATTTCTTTTTTTTTTTTGTTCAAATCAAATTTATTGCAATAAGAAAAACTCGAACTAATTTATCTTTTCAACAAAACACAACTATTCAATTATATTTACTCTTTAGTGTTTTTTCTAAGTTCATCATATTTAGAATTTGAAGTTTTCTTCAAAGTTTCATGTGTTCATCGTCTGTCTACACAACTGTTATAACGCTGTATGCATATAATGTCATACTGATAAAGGTCATTATTCATGGAATGTTCCAAGATAAACTTATCCGATTCATTTTATAAATTTTGTTCGATACGATCCGAGTTGCTCTTCAAGTTTTTATACAGAATGCTTTTCATTGTTCATACATAAACATTTTTACTTAACGTAAGTTTACACTTTCTTTTTAATTTTATATCAGAGAACAAATAAGTACCAATGTGAAACTTGTTCGGGATACAAGAGTGACAGAACATCACATTTGAAAAAGGTCTCTTTTCTAGATCAGACCCAATTGAATATTGATGGTAGTTGAACGACATTGAACAGTTCGAAGAAAAAATTTTATTGATTAAGGATTATGAGATGATTTCTGGTTGAAAGCGGAACAAAATTTTTTGTCTTTAGAATCACGAATGAGCGAGAATTGAATACGGAAAAATATTATTTTCCGAATGAAAATAACGTATGAATAAATTTTTCTAGAATTTCATGCAAAGAAAACAAACCTTGATACTTAGAATCAAAATATGAAAAAGAAATAATAATGATAATAGACTTCGTTCATGCCAGTTTATTTCGAAATCCTTCTTTCAGACCTTCAAAATCGAAAAAAAATTATTGATGAAGAGAAAATTTTCGAATGATGATGTTTCAACTAAATCTTCAATTTCTTTATCAGTATGATTATTTTCATGCTAAAACATTCCATGAAGTTTGTGTTTTCTCATCTTTTTGTTAGTCCATTCAACGTATTCATCTTTGTAAGAATGATAAACTGAATTTGTTCATGTTCATATATCATGGAAATAAGATTTTATTTTTTGATATTATTGACAGATAATTAAAACATTTTTAAAATTACAAATTATTTCTATAGGATTAATTAGACTATTTAATCGAGTTTAACGATCAGTGGTTAAAATATCTTTTATATATTCTCTATTAGTCTCAACATGATTGGTATTAAGCCATAAAATAAAAAATTATTTTGACAAGTTTGAATATATTTTATTTTCGGGAATGCAGATTTCAGTTGATAAAATTATTTTCGAACAAAATAAATTTGACTAGAGTAAAAGCCGTTGTTTTGCAAAAACCGTGATCGAATTAAAACCTAAAGAATGAGTGATTTTACACATTAAATTCTTAATACGAATTATATTCCAGATAACTAACGGATATCATCTACATTCTTTGCAAACAATAGGATGGTTGTTGCAGAAACACGGATCGTGGTCTTCAGTTTAGAAGTATTTGTGGCTATTTACAGATGTTCTCTGAAGAGAAAACTCCCCTCTGGACATTTTTCTCTTTGAAGTTTCATACAGAACAACATGTCTTACCCTTGTAAAATATAGCTTTCCCAAGGAGTGTGCAGTTCGGATAACACATAAAACTATTCCTAAACCCTAACCTTTTTTTTCGATAAATAATGATAAATCCTTTAGAGAACTATCGTCTTTTTCTCTTCTTTTTTTACACCTGTGAATACATATCAATCTTAAGAAATCTTTTGCTTTTATAATATTATCAAAATATCGAATAAAATGACGACATGTCTTTGGTAAGAACACTCATTAATATAAATGAGTAAATTAGTTAAATTCTATTTTGATTAAACTCATCATTATGGTATGCCAAAAACAAAATGAGTCGCATAATGAAATTACAGCAGTTCATGTTTAGAAATCGAGAATTTTCGTGTGATGTTGCATCGAGTTCTTGTGTTATGTTTCTCTTTGTTATATAAAAAGAATACTATAGATTAAAAATACTTGAAGATTTTTATTTTATTTTAAAATGATGCAGTTCGATGTCTTACATGATTTTAATCAACGTCATCCTCAAATCTTGATGTGGCATGTTAATTATCAGCTGAGAGTTTGCGAAAATGACAAGCAAGTATATAGTTTATCATGTACCAATGACTTGCACTTTTAAAACGAGAACACACATTTATAATTAAGTAGAATTAAAAGAAAAAAAAACATACAATCAGAAGTCATATTTATTAAAATTAATGTTATTATATCGTTCATAACATCGTTTCATTTTGACTCATTTAAATAGTAAACAAATGAATGCGAATTGTTTTTATTTTTAACTTAATTGTTTTACATTTTTAGTGGTTTAATTAGAATTTATTGTGTATGTTTTTATATCTTAAGCCAACTGGCTACTTCAACATTAATATATTATCAGCACTCTTAGACAGTGACCTGCCAAATTCTGCTACATGCATATGTGTGATGAAGAAGCGCTAACACGTGGGAAAAACTCTTTCTTTGTCTTCTTATTCGATTCGACATGTAATCAATATTGTGTTTCATGTAAATGTATGTTGTAATTAAAACATAAGTGCTTCTGCACTGATATTTCTAGCAAAAAAAGACAATTTTCTCTCAAAACTTTATGCCGCTACGTCTTGCTTTATATTATAACTAAACCAACAGAAACACAACTCATCTTCATTCTTAGCTTCTGGTTTCTAGTGAATGTTGTCATTTTCTTCGTATTGCAATCGACA